ATTATACATGTGCTAATGTTATGACTGTTATTCACAGGCATCACTTTATGGTCATAACAGGTGATGCATCACATTAATCATATACTTCTCTTTTCATCCTGTTATTCTTTCTCTATTACTCACAACTTACCAAACTATGTATAGCTAGGAAAGCTTCCTTCTGCAAAATTACATATCCAGGAGTTCAAGAACCTAATCAATTTATACTTTCTCTATAATCTATTTTTAATGGATAAAACCCCCCCCAAATCTCATTTTCCAGTGAATGTATCATGAAAAAGGAAAAAGACAAGACATTGGAGATTACTTGGATTTTTCCCCCCCACAAAAATGTAGAAATTTTCAGTGCAGATATCTTAATATTAAGAAGATTTTAGAATTTTAAAAATAGCTTATTTTAGAAATTTCTTGCAAAACAAATTTACTGTGGGGAAAAGGTAGTTAGGTAGAAAGCAGTTGCTACAGTATGTTGGGTTTTGGCCCAGTCACCCTACATTTAGGAAAATTTAAGAGAACTTAATTAACAACCTAGAGTAATTTTCAGGGCCCTTCCTTCTTTGACAATGCATAAATACAGAGTATTTTCTGAAAATAGACAGTACTCTTACATTTGCGATCTCCCAGGCTGGAACACATGTTCTCTTCTGCACACTACAGTTGTACTGTAATGCTGTATGACAGTTGAACCTCAAAGAAGTTAGAGATTTGGTTCAGATAAATTCAGATGTAATGCTGAAAAGTCATACTTCTCTGATCCAGACATCAGGTTGATAATGTATTTCCTTCATGAGATTTACATGTCCTGGGTTTAAATCGTTCATAAATTTCTGCTAATGCATTTCCCACAGTCCATGCAGAGACATGCAGCTAAAATGATTTTGACACTACACAGTTCAGGTACAGTGTTCTGGAGCTGTACACAAACTCTCCTTTGAGAAATCTGAAAAGCACCTGTTGAACCTCAGTATGAAAGGTCTTACCCTCCCAGAAGGCAGAAATGTAATTTTAATGAGCTCTTAGTTCAAACTGAATATGACACAAAATGATTTTCAACTGCAATTATTCAAAATTGTCAGGTTGTGAAAGGATGAAAAGAAATTTACTCTTTAGAACTACCAATCAGGCCAGTTTTGAGGTTAAGTCTCCTGGGAAATTTGAGAAGTAATTCAGCTTCCAAAAGCATTTATACCTGCCTTCCTTTGAACTAAGTATTTTCTAAATAGCACAGGAGTGTTATTGTCCACTGGGGAGCATGCTAAGATTGTCTAATTAATTTCTCTAGTAACCTAAACTAGATCTGGGTCCTTAGAGATGCAAGCAAATCAAAGTCAAACAATGTGATCTCTCTCTCTCTCTGCCTTCTCTTTTAGAGAAATTATTTAAATTATGAGAGACTATTTTAGGTCACTGATGGAAAGCTAAATTTGATCTTCACAGTTAAGAATTCTTCTGTTAATCCCCTCTACAAGGCATGTTTTTAGCTTGTCTTAATTAAAAAAAAAAAAAAAAAAAAAAAAAAAAAAAAAAAAAAAGAGACTAACTTATGCAAATGTTCTGCAGTCTGAGTTTGGTACAGATTTTGCTGGTTTTGCTGGTTAACTAAATATAGCAAGTGGCTAAATTTGTAAAACAAAACAAAACAAAAAAGTGTTAAACTTTTTAACCACCCAGTTATCCTTTTTTAATGCTAAAAGTAAAAATTTATCATAAATGAGCATGAAATTTGCTTTCATCTGGAATACAGTATTGTTGTTTGGAAACACAGTCAAGTTTTTTTTAATTTCAGTGTGATGCACTGATCTGTATGAAATTCAGAAAAACAAAATTCATATTAAGACACTCTAGCTTTTTTGTAGCTCAAAACCCATCATGTTTTTGCTAAAGCCTAGTCACACATTAAAAAAAAAAAAATAAAAATTGTACGAGACACTGCCTAAAGAGTTCCAAACTCATACGCCAAAATACAGGCTTTTCCAGTCTAATAATTTCAGATCCTTTGCAGTTCTCCACAGCTGTTTCCATAGGCCCCTGTGTTGTCCCAGGCAGGTCTACCACCTGTCTGATTTGCCCAGATTAGGATCGGAGATATGCTATATATATTTCCTAGGAAGAGGGGCATATCCATCAAGTGATGAAGATGGAGAGCTAACAAGATCACCATTGTATACAGCAGTGCATAGGCAGCCAAGCTGCTTCTCAATCAGCTGCTGAAGATGATAACTTACCTTGAAAATCAGCTAAATATTTTTATTTTCACACAATTGCAATTCTATTTAATTTTACATTAGCACAGAAATGGGGGAAATAGGAAAACTGCAATAAAAACTTACTTTAGAAGAATCTTCTGAATGAACTTCCAAGAGGCAGTCCTGAAGGGTAGAGGAGTACAGGAAGGCTGGACATTCTTCAAGAATGAAACCTGAAAGGCGCAGGAGGAGGCCATCCCTATGTTCCAAAAGACAAGTCCACAGGGAAGAAGGCTGACCTGGCGGAACAGAGAGCTTTGGCTGGAACATAAGAAAAAATGGAGAGTTCGTGGCCCTTGGAAGAAGGGGCAGGCAATTCTTCAGAAGGACTACAAGGATGTCATGAGCTGTGCAGGGAGAAAATTACAAGGGCCAAAGCCCAGGTACAACTTAACCTGGCTACAGATGTAAAAGACAATGAAAAATGTTTATGTATATACATTCATGGCCTTTTCCTCATCTACTAAGCATGTCATCTTGTCATAGAAGGAGATAAGGTTAGTTATAGAAGGAGATAAGGTTAGTTATAGAAGGAGATAAGGTTAGTCATACAAGACCTGCCTCTCATAAACTCATCCTGACTGAATGTGATCACAGGTTTTCCTGTATGTGCTATGATCTGAAGCCAGTAACTCGTGCTTCTTCCACTAAGTTGAGTGGGAGCGTTGATCTGCTTGAGGTTAGAAAGGCTCTACAGAGGAATCTGGACAGGCTTAATCGATAGGACAAGGCCACGTGTATGAAATTCAACAAGGCTCAGTGCTGGTTCTTGCACTGGGTCCTAACAACCCCATGCAATGCTACAGGCTTGGGGAACAGTGACTGGAAAGCTGCCTGGTGGAAAGGTGTTGATTGACATCTGGCTGAATGTGAGCCAGCAGCGTGCCCAGGTGGCCAAGAATCTCAATAGCATCCTGGCTTGTATCAGATATGGTGTGGGCAGCAGAAGAAGGCAAGTGATTGTCTCCCCATACTCAGCACTGGTGAGGCCACACCTTGAATACTGTGTTCAGTTTTGGACCCCTCACTACAAGAAAGACATTGAGGTGCTGAAGCACATCCAAAGAAGGGCAATGAAGCCGGTGAAGGGTCTAGAGTGTAAGTCTTATGAGGAGCATCTGAGGGAACTGGAGTTGTTCAGTCTGGAGATAAGGAGGCTTAAGGGAGACCTTATCACTCTCTAAAACTACCTGAAAGGAGGTTGTAGCGAGGTGGGTGTTGGTATCTTTTCCCAAGTAGCAAGTAATAGGACAAAAGGAAACAGCCTCAAGTTGTTTCAGGAGAGATTTAGATTGGATATTATGAAAAACTTCTTCACTGAAAGAATGGGTTATTGAGTGTTGGAAGAGGCTGCCCAGGGAAGTGGTTGAGTCACCATCCCCGGAGATATTTAAAAGATATGTAGACATGATGCTTAGGGACATGGTTTACTGGTGGGCGTAACAGTATTAGGTTAATGGTTGGGCTTGATGATCTCAAGGATCTTTTGCAACCTAAACAATTTTACGAGTCTATAATTCTAAGATTATAAAGTGCATTTAAGTGTGATGAAAATAATATGCAAAAGTATCTCTTAGGAATTTTCAGGTTCCCATTACAAAAAGGGAACATCCCTAAATCATTGAAGGTGTCAGACAGTACTAATCAAGAGCTCTATCCCAGGAACAACCATTGCTTTTCACTGTCACTGCTTCTGTAGCAGCAAGAATAACAGGGGCCTTGCTCAGTTTTTACAGTCAGTGATGATGCAGCTATTCCCCCCCTCTAAGAGAGATGACTAGAAACACGTTGCAAACCAACACCTGTCTGCCATCTATTTTTTGCAGATTATATTATCATCCTTCTCACCACACTTTCTGGACAAATGGATAAGCAATATAAATAGCATTTATCACAGGGATTTTGAATGGTTTTTCTCCCTAGCCAGTATGCAAAGAATCTTATGCATGCAAAATTAGTTACCGTATGTTTGCACTTCTATATGTATATTCCTGTTACAAGATACAAAATTAGATCCACTAGCTTTGTTCTCAGCAAAAAATATAATGGAGTTACTGGTGACTCTCAGGTCCTGGGAGGAATTAATTTCCCAAACTTGGTCCCTGCCCCAGCCAAGCTCTACCAGCAGCATGGGGGACCTGTCTTGCTGCATGCCTACATCATATAAACTAGGAAACAGCAACATATTTGTTACCCAAGAATGCAAACAAGACTGAAATTACAGTTGCACAAGAATTTCGTCAGTAATCTAAAAATAGCCATTCTGGATCAGACTAAGGAACTCTTTTAGACACCCTATGTCTGATGGCCCTGATGATATTCTTAGGAGAAAGAAAAACAAAAAACAAAAAACAAAACCAAAATCAAGATGTGAAAACAAAGCAAGCATAGAGCAACCTTTTTCCTCTACTTTCCCAGCATTCATTAATCAATGGATTGGAAACCTCTGAACCAGATTGATACTGGGACCCTTGTTTCTCATGAAGAAGAATTTGAAGAATTTAATCTTCTAAGAGCTTGTATGTTCTTTCTTCAACTCATTGATAATTTTGGTCTCATGATGAATGAACTCCATAAATAAATTCTTATACAGCTTGCATGGAAAAGTTGCCTTCCCTCTGTCTCAAAATTTATGAGAATTCTCTCAAAGTATCCTATTTCCTGTGATATGCAGGAAATTATAAAAAATCATTCCCTCTTTAATTTGTCAAAGCTATTCAAGATCTTTGTCCTTCCTCAGCTGTTTCTTTTCCAAAGCAAGAGTTCTAATTTAATTCATTTTCACTGGTAAAGATACTGATTTTGATCTCAGTTTGTCCTGACCACCCTCCATTGCTTTTATTTTTCCTTCAGCTAATATATGTGATTTAAGACAATTGACCAAAATGGCACCAAGTGTTTAAGTAGTAGATCATGATAAATCTACAGAAAAGGATGGTATTTCCTTTTTTTTAACCTTAATTACTCAACAAAGGTATTTTCACATCTAGCTAAAATTTTCTGTGATTTAAAAATCTCTCCTGAGTAGTAACTAACCTAGAAACATTTCCACATATTTTTGTTAGTATTTTCTTCTATGTATATAACTATGCATTTACCATGAGTTGCTAAAATAGAGGTGCACATCACCTCTGGAGATGCTTTGCCTCCAGCTGCCTATTTGGAAGGATACAGAGCTCCCGAATGTCATGTGGAAAATGTACCAGCTGCATGTGGATATCACACACAAGGGAGCCTCAAATGGCAACTATCCATGTTTTGGAAACTGAACTGAGTCATTACTACCATGCAATCCTGCTGCTGCTCCTCATACTTGGTTTCAGCTGTGACTAAATAACTGTGTAATGTCAGCAAGACTTGTTTCCTGACTGCTCAGCTCCCTTTAGACTGACCAACACAAGTCCCAGAGTGGATCGGCCATATGGGAGTCCACTCCCTGTCTGCCTTGCTCCTGGCTGGGGCAGTGGGACAGGCTCTGGCTGCCAGACCCTGCCCTGCTGTGCTCCTGGGTCCTGGAGCCCCCAGATCCCTCACAGCACCTTGACACATGCAGTTAGGAGGGAAATAGACTGTGCAACTTCTTTCAGATGTCTCAGTCACTCTGCAACTCATTTTCATTTGCTTGTGGCTTTTCCCTAGTCATCATCTAAAGCATCAGCTTGCCCTTCCAGAAAGCAAAAGTGTTAGTAGTTCTAACATATATCATCGTAGAGGAAAAAAGAGAAACACATTAGACTCACACATTTGATGGATATCTTATGAATAAAAAGCTGTCATCACGCCCTCTTATAATTACATTTTTAGCTGCTCATGTTCTGTACAGTAATGTCAACAGATGGCTTGCTAACAGCACAGCTTGTTCAGGTTGTTGTGTTGGTGACAATCAGGTCAAAACCTCATCTTTTGTTCTTCAGTTTTGCAAGTGTCCCTCAAGACTTTCTAGCTGATTTGAAAAGGCATTTGGTTTGCTTATTGGAAACCTATAGACCTACACCTGCAATCCTACACCTGCAGGATTTCATCTAGAAAAATGTGTGTGCTTCTGGTGAGTTTAAAATGTAAAGGTGATCTAATGCAAAGATTTCCCTCACCTCAACAGTGAAAATGCAGAAATCAAACACTCCATGATATTATACATCTTCTTTCAACAGATTCCTGAACATGCATTTTAATATAGTGAACAAGGAAACACAGACAGTATCTAAAGATAAGGATGCATAAGGCTGAGGTGATATTCTTGCAGGGATGTTTCACCTACTACAAACAATATAGATCTTTCTGTGAGAATTAAAGCTTTTAAAAACAAAACCCAAATATAACTGAAGGACTAAATATCATCTCACAAATCGCATTTATTCCAGTATTGTGATGTAATCTGAAATATTTACAACCAAATTCAAATGTAATCAGCTATACTATTCTCTTTTTTTTTTCCAAAATATGCCAGCAAATACATTCTAGTGTCAGTGCACAGTAAAAAATTTCCTGATATGTTCCTAGAATTTCTCTCCCTTGTTCATTACACAAAGTACTCCATATTGCTTCATTTTTGAGTAGTTGTCTAAGATCAGCTGAACCACTGAAGAACATGAAAACAGACTTCAGAGTATCCAGATTCAGATTGCTGTCCTATTTTACCAGGCCAAAAGGGGATGCAGTATAGAAGGCACAGTCTTTGGAGGGTATTGGGAGAGTTACCACTGAGAGTGGTCTGAGCCTTTTATTTGGGTTTCGAAAGGACTAAACAATGAAAATGGAGACTATTAAAAGTGATTAATCAAACTAACATTACCATATCAATCATACCAATATGCAACAACAGTATTTCGTTTTTACATAGCCCTACCATATGGTTTCAAAGCACATCACAAAGTCAGTCTCATGTTGCTCTCCAACAAATTGAGAAACCGAAGAAATTTGGGTTACAAGGCACCTGTCTAATAGCAGGATCAATAACAAACTCATATTTTATGAATAATATGACAGGGAACTACACCCTAAGGCACTCTTCCCCATGGACAGGGAAGACACACCTTGAAATCTCACAGGTTTCCAGGTAAATTTGTGCTACTACATATATATTAAAGATTTAATGTATACATAATAACTTCATGTTAAAGTTCCTTTCTGGTTATCTATAAGTCTAAAAACAAGAAATGTCACCAAAAGGCAAAATCTCAGATACCCATACAGGGGTCATGGTGCCAGAAAGGAAGAGCAGTGTAAAAGGAATGAGGACAATACTGAAATCTTGACATGCTAGATAAACTGTCTGGAAAAAAATACACAAAAATTCAGTAAGGACAGGAAAAAGATTACACAGAAATCACAACAGCAAAAGAGATGCTACTACTCAAGAAGTTCTTTCCTTCCTTCTGGCTGGAATGAAGTTGTCCTCTTGTTGCTCATGTGTTAATTTCCAAGTGATTTCTATTTTAACTGATTTCAGTACGAGGAGGGGACAACCACAACACACTGACCTATTTGACCCTGAATATAATGGGATGTTTCCCCGACATCACCGTGGCTGAGATCTGAAAAGTGATTTCTGTTGATTCCTTGGATATGGCTTAAAGAACCTTGCAGACTTTCAAAGTTTCCACCTGCCAATCATGCATGTGGGGTCTCAGGCTGGATGCAGTGCTGACCTGATGCTCACTCTCAACCCTATTTCTCTTTGTACTAATCAGATTCCTGTTTTCCTTTTCCCTGGGTTTTGGTCTTTGGTAAAGCAGCTGGACATGCTGCGACTTGACAGGCTGTTCTTGAGCCAGTATACATTGGCGAAACTAGGTGAGTTGACTGCAGACAGCAGCACTCTGCTGATATCTAGCACCGACGACACAACATTGTAATTTACACGCCAGCTGGGAAAGCTGTTTTAGCCAGGATTTATTATTCACAGAAAACATATTTTTAAACATTAAAATATTGTGTTCCATGTAGAGCAGATCTTCTATCCTTGGCCTGAAGGCTTCTTTGAGTTTCCTGGGGCAGGGGTGGAGACCAAAAGCAATTGTAAATTTAACCTATACTATTTTGGAGAAAGGTTTTCATGACAATTGTGTCTGGCTTTTTCTGAGGGTTTCTAATTTCCTACTCCTCTACTCCCTTTGACTAGTGTTAAATCTTTTGACTTGTATCAAGTCTTTGAAAGAAAAGAAATGTTTGCTGCAGGCCATGACAGAGGTAGACTGGTAAGACGTGGCAGGGGCGTTCCCCTCTCTGTTCCATGCCCTTTGCCCAGTGCTAAATGCACTTGTAGAGTCACCTCAGGTGACCAGAATGGGGAAGGAGAGGCCTGTGTGATACTAAGTGGGAAGCCAGAGGTGACTGGGAATGAGC